AAATATCATGTATTTATGTGACATTAGCTACATGAGAGCTACACTTCAAAGCTGTTTCTTTTCAGCACAGAGTGACGGTGGAAAGGACCACCGAGCCAAAAAACCCCCCGAACAATCCTCCAGCTGCACAACGGGACAATATCGGCTGCACTAACTTCACTTCTCGAAAAAACACAGGTGCCTCGCATGGGACGTCAGAGGCACAGCTTATTCAGTAAGGCAATATGTACACATGAACTGTATTTTTCTCTTATGCTGTCGTTTCATAAATAAAGTCTAAAATAATACTGTACATTCTGGTGAAACTGTGGCAATCAAAGGTGGAAATGAAGTAAAAAAAAATATATAATACAAGTAAAAATGAAACAAAGCACCTTGCTAATCAGGCCAATTGGTTAAGTCATTTCTTGCACTTTTGTGTACACGGACTCAGTACTGAGTTTTTAACAGGGAGAATTCTCTGGGAGAATAGGGGAAAAACAACATGTTGGCATTCCCATCGATTAACATAAACAAAAAGATAATTACAACTTCGTAACACAGTTTTTTTCTTATCAAAAATCAGACACAAAGCGACAGCCTGCCTGCACCTCCCGCTCCTGCACTACAAAACAGTTTGGCTACAAATGGAGGCAGGTTGGTTTTGGTGGTGGTGGAAGTGGAAGTGGAGATGAGAAGTGTGCAGGAAGTGCAAGGCTTGTTAATCAATACTGGTTGAAAAGCGGTGAAAAGAAACGAAACGTAAACGACATGGGTGAGAGAAGACGTCATTACACGTATGTGACGAGCGCTCTGTTCCTGAAGCCAGTTAAGAACTAAACTATTACAATTAGCCCTGTAGATCAGATTCAGTTTGCAGTTGGGGTTTTTTGTGTGTTTTTTCCCATATAAAAATCAATTTAACAAAACGGCTAGTACTGGCACACCAATTGATCTGTTCTCGAATAATAATATTCCTCTTTTTGCAGTTCTGAAGCTGAACGATGTTTCGTCGCTGAGAAATCAAACTGCCATAACACAAAATTTACATTCTCCTCTTACAAAAAAAACAAAACAAAAACCAATCAAAACAAACATGTAAATAACTTTTTTTTCCTTCCAAAAACGAATTAGCCATTAGACATACAATACAATTACATAGATACATATTTTCAATACCGCACATTCAATCTGCCAAAAAACAAACAAACAAAACAAATAAAAACAACAAAAAAGTAATGATTAAAAAGCCAACAAAGATGCTGCAATATATATATAGAGAGAGATGTATGTACAATGATTATAGCATTCATAATTGCACTATGCCTCAATAAATGTTAATTACAGGCTTATGATCTAGGGAAGTGTTACAAAAGAAATAAAAAAAATACTCAAAGTAAGTCGGGGAATGAAGGATTGCAGATCAGAAATGCCAATTAGAAACAAGAAGAGCTCACTTTGGTACAACTGAACGTCGACACTACCTTTCACACAGGAACTAGCCAGATTTACTCTCCACTGCTATTCAACTACAACAGTCAAGACAGCCGGGCTGTGATTGGACAATTACAAAGATACAGCTAAAAGGCGACTCGATAAGTCTGCAGGCTGGCGCGGGCTTGGAGGGAGGGGCCTGCAGCCCACGGCGCAAGGTTGTGATTGGATAATTTTAGGCAGTTCAACTGGTGTAACGGGTGTAGCTGCACCGGGTGTAGCTGCCCTGTCTTTCAGAGCCCACGAGCTCGCTGTAGCTCAGGTGAGTTGATGCTGGGTCGGTGTGTCGGGGGTGGGGAAGAATACCGCAGACTGTGTTGAACACTTCAAAAAAAATATGAAATAAAATGTATTTTAAAAAGAAAAGAAAAGAAAACCTCCAGGGTCCATACGTCAGGTCGGTAGAGTCAGTGAGTGAGCCCTGCTCTTTCCTGTCTGCAACACTTTTCATTTCAGTGAACAGCTGTGGAGTCTGGGCCTCTGTCCCTCTCACTCATTCACTCTTTTTTTTTTGGCATTTGGCAATAAATATACATGTTACCATAATAAAAAGCGTTAATGTGGCACAGTTGAACATAACCATTTAAACATATCGTCTGATAAATTATTACCTCCTCGGCTCCCTTCAGTTTGTGTAAAGTGACCGCTGCCATGGTTCATCTTTACATGACAAAGCAGAAGTCCCTGTGTGCTTCCCCACTTTGATGCTCAAAGCTTTTTTTCCTTCTTTTTTTTTTAATTTTCAAAGCCTTTTTCACTCACATTTCTGAACTGAACGGTTCTATCGACAGCTGAAAACCATGACACGACCGTCACTTGACACACGACTTGGGTTGTTCCCTCCAAACACATGCTCGACTCACTGAATGACACCAAAAGCCAATGCAAAGTAAGATTAATAAAGATCTAAGCCACTCGCATATATCAAATGAATTTTAAATCATTTTAAAAGAGATCACAAATTCTGCCTACTCATCAAAAGACTTGCCAATCAGTCTATCAGATTAAAAAAAATAAATTAAAAAATGAAGCCATCTAACTCATCACTCCCTGCTGGGCAAACAGGTAAACGCCCGTGATGAAGCTTCAGAATGAAACAACAGGTAAGGAA